TTACCAAATCTTGTGTCGCCTCTGCGCTTCTTAATCATGTGTCTGGTATTGCCCCAAAAATCTTTCAACATATTTGTCGACCAGTAAGGGACATTTCACAAGAACTTATAAAATACCAACAGGACTTGGCAAGGCAAAGAAAGGAAGCATGTTCCTGATCACTGAGCAATCCATAACCAGAGATCATAGATTGAGGATAAGATGTAAACCGTTTAGGACTGAGATGAGGGGAATATCAGCACCCAGAGAGCAGCGAGCCCATAGAATTCTGTGCTACTGGAAGCAGTTAAAGCCAAAACATTGATTCTTTTTACAAGAAGGAGTTAGAAATGGTTTTTGGGCTGAATGGTCAAAAGGACATGAGGTGAAAGTGAAACAGGGTACTGAGTTAATGATCTCCATAATCATATTGAATAGTGGAGCAGGCTGGAAGGACCGACTGGCATCTTTCTGCTCCAATGTCTACGTTTCCATCACCCATATCAGGGGAACTCACAGCGAGCCAAATGAAACCACACAGGAAACAGTTTATCAGTGACAATTACACTCGTAAACAATAGCTTGTCGTTTCTTGCTGCAATTTTGTATCCGATTGAAGTGCACTGACACTAATAACACGCTTCTTTGAGAGACATATGTAAATATCAGTGCGTTCTTTAATGTAGAAATAGTGATGATGGCAGTTGGTGTCATGTGGGTCGTGTCTGCGTTGACTTTGCAAAGGAAGTTTGTGAAGTGCCAATGAGACGAATTCTGTGCAGCATTGAAGTCGATGGAATGAAAAGCCCCGTGACAATGGGGATGTAAAATTGTCTGTCAGGAATTGTTTTCCAGACTTGAGGAGCGTGCACTGTCCTGTTGCAAGGAGTCAGGATTGGGACCACCTCTATTCAGAATAGATAAGAATGAGCCACATATTTTGGAGCAGACAATTTCAAAATCCTAAATGAGACAATAGCGCATAGAGTCAGGGATCATAGAAACGTTACATTATAGACGGAGACCATTCGGCCTGTTGAGTCTGCACCGAGCCCCGAGTCCCCATAAAGCCGCATTTACCATGGCTCAACCATCTGGCATGCTCATACCTGCACACGACGGGACAATTTCCCATGTCCAATTTACCAAATTTGCAGAAGCTTAGACTGTGGAAAGAAAATGGAGCATGCCCACGCAGATACAGAGACAACGTGCCAAACTCCACACAGTCACCCAAGGCTGCAATCGAACATAGTTCCGTGTCACTGAAAGGCCCCAAAAGTCGTGGTTCTTCCCCAGCAGAGAATTGAACCACGGTCGCCCGCGGGACAAGCGGAGATACTAACCACCATACTATCGAGGACTTCGCCAACTCCCTTTATCCCTTTACGGGTGCACTACTCAACAAGAAATGCTCAACTATCCTAATTCTAATTTCCATAGCTTGGCACACAGCGTTTTATCCCTTAGCATCACAAATTCACGTCTGAATTCTTATCACAGTTATCAGGGTATCTGCCTCTACCACACTTACAGCCAGTGGCTGCCAGATTCCAACCACCAAAGGTTATACTCAAACCTTTCTACCTCTTACCTTAAACCTATGCCCTTCCGCCCCCCCCCCCACCCCGGTGATCCATCCCTCCATTAAGGAGAAACGTTTCTTTCAGTCTACCATATCCATATCCCTCATTATTTTGTACATCTCGATCACGTCTCCTCCAAATCTCCTCTGCTCTACGGAAAACAATCCCAGTCTGCCCAATCTCTCTTCATAAATAAAACTCTTCAGCACAGAAATATCCTGGTAAATCTCTTCTGCACGGTTTCCGGTGCTATCACATCCCTCCAATAATGTGAATTGCAGAACTGCACACAGTACTCTTGCTTTAGCCGAATGAACAAATGAAATAAATCATGCAGAAACCCACAGGAACTGGTCTTTTCCAATTACGCCTCTCTTGCTCAATATTGACTCTGTGTCCTTTTCCTGAGTCTAATGTTCAAGTGATCTCTGGTCCATGTCAGTAAAAGCTATTACATGAGGTTTGATCTCACAACCGCGGTATATAAACGGATCGATTGGTTTTCACGTCCTCACGGTGAGACTGGGCCACGTTCACCCAACAACAGTGACCGCAGCAGCACAGATTGAACGGTGTCGTTACGAAAGTGAGTGATAGATTGTGCAGTGTCTCAGAATAATGGGACGAAGGGTGTGAAGGAGGGTTAGTGATTTTGGGAGGGAGAGAAATCTTCGAGGAAAGGTGGGTTTGAATTCCGATACATGAAACGCAGACATGTGAGAGAGCGGGGCTTTGAAGGAACAAAATCATCACCTCGTAGAATATTCTCATGTAAAAACTGACTGCTAGGGCTGACGGTCATAATCTTTTTCCCAGAGTTGAAATGTCTAATACGAGGGGGGTATGCATTTAAGATGCGAGGGGGAAAATTAACAGGAGACGTGAGGAGCAGTTTTAAAAAAAGAGTGGCAGGAGTCTGGAACGCACTGCCAGGGGTGTTAGTGGAGGCTGACGTGATAAGGGCATTTATGGGATATTTAGATAAGCACATGCATATGCAAGGAACGGAGCGATATGGTCCAAGGGCAGGCTAATGGGATTAGTTTCATTTGGCGTCATGTTCAGCACAACATCGGGGGCTGAAGGGCCTGTTCTACGTTCTCTGTCTTTTTTTCTAAATATCCAGTAAGCACATCCTTTATAATAGGTACTAGTATTTTTCACCAGTTGACAGCAAGTCTGTAGGTCCCCGTTTTCCCTCTCCCTCCTTTCACAGTTCGGGAACATTTACAACCTCTCAATCTGCAGGCACCAGTGCAGAACTAATCATTGTAACAGATGATTACAAATGTATCTACCGCCTCCATAACCAACACTTTCAGTGCTCGAGGATGATGGTCCTGGAAATTGTTCAACATACAGTCCTATTGATTGCTCTAATTCAACTGCTTTTTAACTAATACTAGAACTTTCCATCTTAATTATTTCTGGTAGACTTCTTGTATCTTCCTCTTTGATGATAGACACAAGTACTTAGATTCTTTGATAACAAGGTGTAGAGCTGGATGAACACAGCAGGCCAAGCAGCATCATAGGAGCCGGAAGGCTGACGTTTCGGGCCTAGACCCTTCATCAGAAAAAAAAACTTAGATTCTTTGCTGCTTCTGTATTTCCAATTATAAATCCTCCTGTCTCTGCCTGGAATAGACTCATAATTTATTTTGACAATCTTTTCATTTTTGCTTACTTACAGAAGTTATAATAGTCCATTCAACGGCCTTTCTCAGGTCATTTGAGGAGGGATCAGCATTCAACTCAATCACAACAGGAAATTGCAGGAAATCATCAAATGGAGACTGGGGAATGCCTGTCTCACAAGAGTACAGTTCAGAGTAATGTTCAATGCAGTGGAGCATCTATTTATTTCCATCCCTGTGTACTTCACCTTCTGTCAATTTCAGGCAGAAGTAATGTTGGTGATGGATGTACCGAGTTCTCTCTCGATCACATCGCACACAGCACGTAGATTTCCATCAGCAAAGGCAGTTTGGACTTCTTTGCTTGGATTGACTCAATGTTTATTTGCACTGTATCTCCCTGCAGTATACTTGATTGTCTTGGCTCATTCCACATGGTGCAGAGTTGTAGCTGTTAGAGTAACATTGTATGTCAGGCAGATTTTGGGACTTGCTTCAATGACAGATGCTATTTTGGCTGAGCAGATCCGAAACCAGTCTTTGTTGTGAGTTCCACCTTTACCAAATATTTATAAATGTGTCTTAAATGATTGAATCCAGCAACTTCCAAACTTCATCAATATCAATATTGATTAATGGAGCAATTATCGATATGCCTGGAAAATATTTTACTATTCTATTTCATGGTTCTTAATAATTTCAGTTCACAATTACGGGATCACTGTGAAGAACTTGCAAGTCAGTCAGAATTGTTCAAAGTTCAGAACAGTGGTGTAATCAAGTTCAGGAGAATGATTGTAATTGGGGAAGAATCATGGATGGTGTTTTTAAAAAGAGACATCACGTCTGTGCCATGGAATGAGATCATGTTTGAACTGATAAGCCTCAATTCCATTTTCCTGCCTTTTCCTCGTAAGTCTTGGTCCTTTTACTGGTTAAAAATCTATCTCTCTCAGCCTTAAATCTACTTAATGACACAACACCTACAGTACTCTACAGTAAAGAATTCAAAGGATGCAGTACACTTTGAGAGAAGATATTCCTCCTCACTTTTGTTGCAAATGGACAACCTGGGTATTTTAGAGATTTTGCCATCAGGTTGTAGATTCTCCATCAGGGAGAAACGATCTTTCAGTATCTACCCTCTCAATCACTCTAAGAATCTCATATGTATCAACAAGGTCACGTCCCATTCTTCTAAACTCCCTGAGTTCAGACCCAACATATTCAACCTCTCCTCAGAAGGAAAGCCCTCCCTCCATACTGGGATCAACCAAGCAAACCTTCTTTGGGCTGCATTTAATACTAGTATATCACTCCTTAGACATGGTCATCAACATTGTTCACAGTTTTGACTTCAAAAAAGACGACAGGGGACAGTTTCCCTTTTTCATGGTCACACAGTCTCTCTCCTTTCTGGCTGTGATAAGATCATTTTTGGAATGTGACAGGGAGTGCATGTGGCAGAAACCTCATTGGAAGGAGTCAAACATCGAGTCCTGAGAAAGATGGAGAAGTATTTGAAAAGTTATGAAATGTTCAAGTATTTTACAGATATTTGGAGATTGGGCAATAGTTTGCAAGAATACTCAAATATTTTGGTTTCAGCACGGGGTGATGACGACTGATTTGAAAGAGAATGGACAATATCTGAAGAGAATGTACCGTCAATAATGTCGATAAACATGGCATCCCTCCTCCTCCTAATTCGTATGTTTATGTATGTGGACATCAATCAGCTCTTTAGAAGGAATTGAAGGTAAGTGGTATATTGACCTGAATTGCAAAAGGAGCTTGAGCAAGGATGTCTTACGGCAGTTGTACGGGAGTATGATGTGCAGTTGTGGTCTAAGAAAATGCATACTTGTCATCGAGTGAGTACAGTGAAGGTCATCAAGCTGATATCTGTGAAGACAGATGTCATATAATGAATTATTGCGTGGCTTACTCTGCTAATTTCTGAAATTTAAAACAAGAACAATAACATATAAAATTTTGACAGGCATGACAGACTGGATGTAAGGATAATGTTACCATAGCTGGAGGTGGGGACGTGGATGGCCGGGATCTAAAACAAGGGGCCACAGCATCAGGATACAGAATTAGCTATTAAGGACTGAGACGAGAGAAATTCCTTCAAATGGAGTGTGGTGTACTTGTGGAATTCATTACCACTTAAGATTGTGGAGGCCCAAGCCACTGAAAATATTTAGGAAATAAATCAATAGATTTATAGATAGTAAATGTGTCAAGGGACATCGGAAGAACATGGGAGTATCTCAGAGATAGAAGATCAAGCATGGTCATATTGAATGGCAGAGGGGCCAAATAGCCTACTACTGCTACTATTTTCTATGTCTCCAACCCTCACAAAACCACAAGAGTTAAAGGCTTAATGGATTGAAGGCATGATCAGCACACTCATAGCAGGGAGAAGCTGGTTAAATGTTCTGTGTGAGGCAGGGAGTCACTGATGGGAGAGCAGTGAGTTCACATAAATCTATAGAAATCTGTTCAAGGGTCACCGGACCTGAAACGTTAACTCTGATTTTTTTTCCCACAGATGCTGGCAGACCTGCTGAGCTTTTCCAGCAACTTCTGTTTTTTGTTCCACATCAATCTATAGCCGTTGGATATTGCTGTTTTGATTCTGCTTTGTTAATTCACGATTCGAATTAAATTATCATTTTCTTTCTCTGTGGTGAATAATGCAAACCTCAATGACTGTCGTCTCAGTATAATTTGATTCCTAATTTTATTATTTAATTCATTGATCCAGTCTCCGTTCTGACCAAAAACATAAGTCACAACACTCCCATGAAAACATTTAATGGTGTAATCTCTCACCCAGCAATCACTAAGGTGGAGAATGGGTTCTATCCAGACCGCGCGAGAGAGAAGGGGGCAGTTGGGACCGGGTCGGGGGGTGTGTAGAAAGAGAGAGAGAGAGAGAGAGCAGTGCACGTACACTGTAAAGCGAAAGCATATGCGCAATACGGAGGCATATCCTGCACATGCGCGGGGTGGTTGAGGCGGGGATTGATGGTTCTCGGATCGACGGGAGGTGAGTTGATAGCGGCGGGGAACGACCCAGGAATCCGGACGGTGAAGGGGGAGGATTCGGAAATATGGTGTTTGAGCGACAGGCTCACAGACTAGAGGCTATCACTCATTGTTTGCAAGTGTGGGACGGTGGTTGTGGGACCTGAAAGCTCTCGGCGTTTTTAGTCCCCGAGACGGAATCGTTAGGGCTTGGGATAACGGCCGCCATCTTTGCAGGGCGCATCCGCGGAAACTCTGACCAGGACACTGTTGTGGGCTGGAGACGGTGAAGACTGCAGGTGCTGGAAGCTAGAGTCAATAAATGTAGAGCTGGAAAGCACAGCAGATCAGAAAGCATCCGAGGAGCAGGAAAGTCAACTTTTAGGGCGGAAACCCTTCATCAGAACTAGGGAGGGGTGCCCAAAAATAAATAGAGATGTGGGTGGCACTGGGGGCAGGGTAGCTGAGAAGGAGAGACCTGCATCCACCTATCTCCATCTGAACTACCCTCCCCCCAGCTCCACACCCTCTCTATTTATTTCTGACCTCCCCTCCCCTTTCCTATCCTGACGAAAGGTTCTGGCCCACAATATTGTGGTATCTCTCCTAGACTGACAGAGGTTGGTTTGAGAAACTCCATTTACAGGGGTTAGGAGGAGAGCATTAACACACAGCAAACTCAAACAAGATGTTGTTTGTCTCTTCTGAATTCCTTTCCTGGGTTGATGGTGAAGAATTTTAGATAGCCATGTTTATTATTTTACTATAACTCCTGCTGAACTCGATGAGTTTTCCACCAATGCCCATCCCCAGAACCTGTGACATTCACAGCTCTACTCCATTTCTTTTTCTGCTTCTCAGATCACAATTAGCATCAAGTTCTGCTTTGCTTTTATTTCCCAATTTCATTCTGCACACCCTAAAACTTTCATTTTCTTTCTCTCACTGCAGATACTACCTAACCTGCTGAGTTATTCCAGCATGTTCTGTTTTGTTTTCTCCAGATTTCCAGCTGCTGCACTATTTTGCTATTACTTTGTTGCAGGCATTTGTCACAGCACTGAGTCAAAGCACAAATGCACCAATGATAAGCTGCTCTATACCAGGGTGAGTGTTAGATGTAGAACCTTCCAGTGTGAGTACTTTTTAAAATTGAGTCACAGAATTATTGATTACAGAAGGAAGTAATTTAGCCTACCTTGCCGGTGCTGGCTCTCTATAAGAGTAGATCAGCTCACTCCGCTCCCCAGCCCTTTCATGAACAATGTCCAGTCGGCTGTGGAGAAGATGATGTTTGATCTCCTTGAACCCCTGCAGTCTGTGTGATGAAGGTGGTCCCAGATTACTGTCAGGTGAGGAGTTACAGGTTATCCACCTAGCAATGATGAAGGAACAATGATGTACATCTAAATCAACAACATCAAATTGTATTTGTATAGCACTTTTCATATAACAATGTCCAAGATGATTGACAGGACTGTGAGAAAGTGAGATTTGACACTGAGCCACATCAGGAGACGTGCAGGCAGATGTCCAAACATGTTTTTTTGGGTTCTCTCTCAGTTACTTTTTTCTGTTTTAAATAAATTTTACAGGATATTAGAAGGATTAATTTGGAATCAGGAAATTTGAATGAAAAGTCACAGCAGGATCTGACAGAGGATATCATTGAATCTTGAACATGAAACGAAACAAACCCATTCAAAGTGCGGAGAAACCGTACACGTGTTGTGTGTGTGGGCGAGGCTTCAGCCGATCATCTGGATTGTCGAGACACAAATGGAGTCACAACAAGGACAAACCCTGGAAATGCCGGGACTGTGGAAAGGGATTCAGATTCCCATCTGAGCTGGAAACTCATCGACGCAGTCACACTGGAGAGAGACCATTCACTTGTCCTGAATGTGGGAAGGGATTTACAAATTCTTCTGATCTGCAGACACACCAACGAGTTCACACTGGAGAGAGGCCATTCACCTGCTCTCAGTGTGGAAAGGGATTCACTCAGTCATCAGGCCTGCAGATACACCAGCGAGTTCACAGTGGGGACAGACCATTCACCTGCTTGGTCTGTGGGAAGGGATTCACTAATTCGTCAGACTTGCTGAAACACAAGCCGGTTCATACTGGGGAGAGTATGTTCACCTGCTCAGAATGTGGGAAAGGATTCACCAATTCTTCCAACCTGCGGATACACCAGAGACTACATACTGGGGAGAGACCATTCACCTGCTCAGATTGTGGGAAGGGATTCACTAATTCTTCCAACCTGCAGATACACCAGCGAGTTCATACTAGTGAGCGACCATTCACCTGCTCTCAATGTGGGAAGGGATTCAGTGATTCCTCCAACCTGATGTCCCATCAACGTGTTCACACTGATGAGAGACCATTCAGGTGCTCCCACTGCGGGACAAGGTTCAGGCGTTTATCTGACCTCACCAGACACCAGCGGATTCACACTCAGGAGAGACCATTCACCTGCCCAGAGTGTGGGAAGGGATTCACTCAATCATCTGGTCTGCTGATACACCGGCGAATTCACACAGCAGAACGGCCATTCACCTGCTCTAAGTGTGGGAAAGGATTCACTGATTCATCCAACCTGCGCACGCACCAGCACGTTCACAGTGATGAGAGACCATTCAGATGCCCCCTCTGTGGGTCTGGATTCAAGCGTTTATTTGAACTCACCAGGCACCAGCAGACTCACACCAGGGAGAGATGATTCACTTGATCTTAGTGTGGGAAGCAGTTCACCCAGCTATCCAGCCCACAGAGACACCAGAGAATACACTCTGGGAAGAAGGATCTTGCTTACTCTGAGTGTGGGAGAGGGTTTACTCAGTCATCCAGGATGCTCGTACTGCAGGGAGTTCACACTTACAACTGATCATTTAAATGCTCAGAGCGTGGGAAGTTATAAAAATTCTGGGTCACTGATATCTCATCCATATGTTCACACTGACGAGAGACTGGTAAAGTGCTCTCACTGCGAGACTGTGTTCAGGTGATCATCTCAACACAATATGAACCAGCAAATATGCATTCATGAGAGGTCATTCAGCTAATTATGTAACTCTGTCATCCAACATGCTGAACCATCAGTGATTTCATCATTAATGACACTTTGAATTTTGCTATTAATTCCATCTGGGGGGAGCCCTGTTCATGATGCCTGTTTCTGTTGATGTAAATGGACTCCAACCCAATAATAGCTTTTAATCGCTGAAATCAGTCAGCTAAAAGTTGTTCACGAACAGTTATGGTAGTACAGTACCTGAGAATTGCTGCAAAGAGCCAGATGTTGGTGAATGTTTTTCTTTTACACTCATCAGGAGATTTCCCAAGAATATAAATTTAATGGAGAAGAGACTGCTGATTGGTTTTCAAGTGGAGGCATTGCTATGAAGAATACACCAGTTAACAATGATTGATTGACATTTAACTGCCAGGATTTGTTTAGATTTCACATCAGACAGATTGATGCTGATTGGTCAAGGCAGTGCCCTTTGAATGAACCAGACAATGGCTTTCACTGATTTTGTTGAGTTGGTACAAGTGCAGTGCATGCTGTTTCTCTCCATAAAGAACAGAGGTAGCCACATATAGGTTGGTATATACAGGTTGGTATCTCTTTGTCCTCATGGTTTACTGCATCTGCATATGTACAGGCTGCCAAAGGCAGTTTTCCCAGTTTTCCCATCAAGTGTTTTCCCATTTATGTTCTGTTCTATTTCTGACCCGTTCTGCATCAAATAAGACAGCCAAGTAATTGGGTGAACTGCTACAACAAGCTTTGAGTAATTTTCCATTGACACAGGAAAAAATTATTTCCCTTTTGCGAAGACCACATGTGACTTCCATATAGATAGTAATGTAGTGACCAGGTGCTTAGTTGACATTGTGAGTCATAGCCATCTGTGCCCTCATAGCCATCTGTGCTGTGGCACCATATTGTGGTGATCTAGACCCATCGCCACTGTGAGAATCAGTAATCATTGAAATAATGAACTTGCAAATTTGCAGAACCGGTTCTGGAGTAGGTGGGACCTTTTTAAGATGGGCATGTTGCATCTTAACAGGACAGGGGCTGGCATCCTCCTGAGGTGATTTGCTAAAGCTGTTGTAGATGTTCAAAGTGGGAACCTGGGAAGGATCTCAGATTCAAATGAAGCTCAGCACAACAGGAAATAGAAAAGTAAAAAGCAAAAATAGAAGTCTGAAATATAGGCAAACACCAAGCAGCATCAGGTGACAGACTTTTTGTTTTAGAGTTATGACTCTCTCTGAACCCACACGGCAGTCTCAAAAGATTGGTGATTTAAATGTGCAAATTGAGGCAAATGAGTATCGTTTAATTGTAATTATGAAAAGGACAAATACAAGGTTAAGAGGATCAGGAACTGAACATCTGAGGATTTTTTTTTTTCTGATGAAGGGTCTAGGCCCGAAACGTCAGCCTTCCTGCTCCTATGATGCTGCTTGGCCTGCTGTGTTCATCCAGCTCTGCACCTTGTTGTCTCGGATTCTCCAGCATCTGCAGTTCCTACTATATCTGAGGATATTTGGCATTTAGAAGAGATGGACTTAAAGGAAGAGGACGTGTGGACAACTTAAGGATGAGATTAGTACATCACTAACAAAGGATCCTAACTGAAGGATCAAAATGTAAAATCAATTTGGGTGGAGCTAAGAAGCAGCAAGGGACAGCAAAATAATTATTGGGAGTTGTTAATCAGCCACCAGACTGTCATGGTAATTTTTAGAGACAAAAAAAAACTGCTGGGAAAACTCAGCAGATGTGGCAGCATCTGTGGAGTTTTTTTTTTTGTTCTATGGTAATTTTAAGCATGGTATTAATCAAACCATCACTAATGCTATGGAGTTTGAATTCCTAATGTGGATGAAATGTGTTTCTGAGGTACTGCATTGTTGACTAGAGTTTGGGCTATTTTGAGTTTAATGTGTTGTTGTGGAAAAAAAACACTTATTAATAACTTTGCTGTAAAGTAGCCTTTCAGGAAAAAGTGACCATTTTGCATGAAGCTTAAATGTGTTAAAAGTTCATTCTGGAACAAAGGTCTTAAATCTGAAGGAATGAAACGAGGAAGCCACTGGGTGCAAGTTGCCGTGGTAGATTGAGAAATGCAAAAATGGTTTGAAGGTAGTCGGCAATGGTTAATATTTGAACAAACTCCACATGGTAGAAAATATAGAAACATAGAAATAGGTGCAGGAGTGGGCCATTCGGCCCTTCAGGCCTGCACCACCATTCAGTATCATCATAGCTGATCATACAATCTCAGTATACAATTCCCCCCTTTCTTCCATACCCTTTGATCCCTTTAGCTGTAAAAGCCACATCCAGCTCCCTCTTGAATATACCTAACGAACCAGCCCCAACAGCTTTCTGTGGGAGAGAATTCCACAGCTTCACAACTGAGTGAAGAAATTCTTCCTTATCAGTCCTGAATGGTTTATCCCTTATTCTTAGACTATGACCCCTATTTCTAGACGTCACCAACATCGGGAACATTCTTCCCCCATCTAGCCTGTGCAGTCCCATTAGAATTTTACATATTTCTATGAGATTCCGCCTCCCCTCCCCAATTCTTCTAAATTCAAGTGAATACAAGACCAGTCGATCCAGTCTTTCTTCATATGTCAGTCCAGCCATCCCGGGAATCAGTCTGGCGAACTTTCACTGGACAAGAATGTCCTTCCTCAGACGAGACCTAAACTGCACACAATACTCAAGGTGTGGCTTCACCAAGGCCCTGTATAACTGCAGCAAAACATGCCTATTCCTCTCACTATGAAGTCCAGCATGCCATTAGCTTTTCTCAGTGCCTGCTTCACCAGCATGCCCACCTTCACCAACTGTTCCACTGTGACGCCCAAGTCTTGTTGCACCTCACCTTTTCCTAAGCTACCACCATTCAAATAAGAATCTGCCTTCCTGTTTTTGCAACCAAAGTGAATAACCTCACATTTACCCACATTATATTGCATTTGCCAAGTATTTGCCCACTCAGCCAGCTTGTCCAAGTCACCCTGCAGCCTGTTAGCATCCTCCTCACAGCACATCCTGCCACGCAGCTTAGGGTCATCTGCAGGTTTGGAGATATTGCATTTAAATCCTTTGTTCAAATCATTAATGTACATTGTGAACAGCTGAGATTGCAGCACTGAGCCCTGCACCACTGCAACTGTCTTGCCACTCTGGAAAGGATCTGTTTATTCCAACTCTCTGCTTCCTGTCTGCCAACAAATTCTCTATTCAATGTCAACACATTACCGATACCACGAGCCTGAATTTTCCTCACTAATCTTGTGTATGGAACCTTGTCAAAAGCCTTTTGAAAGTCCACATACACAACATCTACTGATTCACCCTTGTCCACTCTACTGGTCACATCCTCAAAAAATTCCAGAAGATTTGTCAAGCATGATTTTCCTTTTGTGAATCCATGCTGACTAAGACCAATTCTGTCACCATTTTCCAAACACTTGGTTATTTCATCCTTAATAATTGACTCCAGCATTTCCCCACCACCAATGTCAGGCTAACCAGCCTATAATTCCCCATTTTTACTCTCCCTCCTTTTTTAAAAAGTGATGTTACATTAGCTACCCTTCAGTCCATTGGAACTCTTCCAGCGTCTGTAGAAAGCTGGAAAATGATCACCAATATGCCTGCTATTTCTAGGGCCACGTCCTTAAGTATTCTGGGTTGCAAAGCATCAGGCTTTGGGGACTTATCAGGTTTTAAAACCATCACTTTCCCCAATACCAATTGTTGACTATGGATTTCCTTCAGTTCCTCCTTCATACTTGGCCCCCTGTCCCCTAGCATTTCCTAAAGGTTGTTTGCATCCTCCTTGGTGAAGGCAGATCCAAAGTATTAGTTCACCTGGTCTGCCATCTCTTTGTTGTCCATTATAAATTCACCTGATTCTAACTGTAAAGGACCTACATTGCCTTCACCAGCCTTTTTCTCTTCACATATATGTAGAAGCTTTTGTAGTCAGTTTTTATGTTTTCCACAAGCTTACTTTCATTTTCTATTTTCCCCTTCTCAATTAAACCCTTTTTCCTCCTCTTCTGAATTTTAAATTTCTCCCAGTCCTCAGGTTTGGGCTTTTTCTGGCCAATTTATATGCCTCCTGTTTGGCATTAACACTAGCCCTGATTTCCTTTGTTAGCCGTGGTTGGGCCACCTTCTCTTACACAGGACAGAGATGTACAATTGTGGAAGTCTACAACAGATAATAGAATCCCTATAGTATGGGAACAGGCTATTCAGCCCATCGAGTACACATGGACCCTCCAAAGACCCAGTCCCCTGTAACCCTGCATTTCCCATGGCCATCCACCTAACCTGCACATCTTTGGACTGTGGGAGGAAACCCACACGGTTGTCCAAGGCTGGAATCAAACCCAAGTTACTAGCGTTATCAGGCAGCAGTGCTAACCACTGAGCCACTGTGCCACCGTGGTATATGGTTAATGAAAATAAAACACAAGGACACCAGAAATAGCGAAAAGCTTGAGGTTTAGGAGGAATTTAGAATCCAGCAAAGGAGCAACAAGACACTGATTAAAAAATGGAAAGAAAATTTAAATCTATCTTGCAAGGAAATTGTAAAAGCTCCATTAGATACATGAAAGGAAAAGATTAGCTGGGACAAATTTGAGTTTGTTCTCGGTTGGGACAAGAGAATTTATATTACAAAACATGGAATTGGCAGATAAACTAGACAGTTACTTTGCCGTGTCTTCATGGAAGAAGATTCAATGTCCCAGATATATGAGGAGGCCAACTTGTGAAAGTGGGGGACAAAAAAAAAGCAAGTAACAGTAAAGAGATGGTAGTTGAAAAATCAACTGGACTGAAGTTTGTTGAATCCTGTAGACCAGATGGGCTTCATCTCAAAGTGTTGAGAAGATAGAGAGATGGTGGATACATTGGCAGTTATCTTTCAAATTTTGTAGTCTCTAAAGATTCCTGTGGAGTAGAAGTAACAAATGGAACCCCACTGTTTCAACATGGCAAAATAGAGGGAGAATAAAGAACTACAGACCTGTTAATTTGACATCAGTAACAGGGAAAATGTTCCAATCTATAATGAAAAAGGTGATTGCTAGATTTTTTAAAACAAGTGGTAGAACTGAGCAAAATCATGGCTGAAACATGAAGATTTTGAGGTTGTTGGTTGGAGCATAGATTAAGGAGAACTAGTAAATATGGTTTGCAAGTTCAGATGGCTTTTGATTAGGTGCCACACAGAAGATTGGTAAATAAAATGAGATTGCACAAGATTGGGAAAAATATCCCAGTGTGGATTGAGAATTGATTAACAGCTGGAAAGCACAGAGTAGAGCACCATTCTCAGGATGGCAGGCTGTTACTGGAGTACCACAATGATCAGTGCTTAAGCCCTGGCTGTTCACAATCTTTATATGTGATTTGGATGTGGGGACCAACTGTGATACTTCCAAATTTGCTGACGACACCATGCTGTGAGGAGCATGCAAGGAAACTTTCACAGACTTAGGCATCTATTCTTCTATATATAAACCACACTGAACGCCTTAATTAGATTCCAGTCTGTAACTCACCCTTTGGTATCTGCTACTCTATATATAAACCACCCCAACTGTCTTGATTAGATTCTAGTCTGTAACTCACTCCTGGGTATCTGTGACTCCTTACATAAACCACCTCAAACCCTTTGATTTTATTTCATGCTATAACTGACACTTTAGTATCTGTTATTCTGTATATAAACGATCCCAATCCGCTCGATTAGATTTCAGACTGTAACTCACTTCCCATTATGCTTTGCTGTTTACTAACTTGCTGAGATCAATGAGATTTCAATCTCTAACTCCGTAGAAATTGGTTGAATGTTAAACTGAGAGCAGGAAAAGAGAAAGCTGCCGTTAAATTTCTGCTATGTTTCATTTATCCAAAAGTATTAGTTTTATGGAATGCAGCAGTTCAATAAAGCAGCTCGCTACCACCTTCTCAAGAGCTGATAGGAATGGGAGATGAATGCTGGCCCAGCCAATGATGCTGTTATCCCATGAATGAATGAGAAACAAACACAATGCCTTTGTCTTGCTAATCACTTTCTGACCCTGCAGACTAACTGACTGAGATCCCTCTGTACCTCAGAGTCCTGTAACATCTCTCCTTTTAATTCTTCCTGACAAACCTCACGCTCTCCACTTTGTACTACATCGAACAATGTTTTACCCGCTCATTGACCATCTCTACATCGCTTGATTTGAATACCCTTTAAGTCCTCTTCACAATTTACCACTCTAACTATTTTCAGCAAGAAAACATTCCATTTTTAAATCAAAGACTGACCTGCACTAAAGCCTGTTGGAAATCCAAATATCCTTATGTTGCTCTATGTCCTTTGGTCAGTGAATGTGTCTGTCAGTTTCTCACTCTTCTCTCTGGAATATTTATAAACTGCCACATTCATCCATTAGCCTTTTTGACTTGGTTCGAGGTAACTGTGACCCCTCTACAATCACAGCAAGACTTCCTCATATTAGCTTTTTGTGATTTGTCTACAAGGATCCACACAATAATGTTTAATAACTTAGTGAGTAAAGGAGTACTTGACCCAATAATATAGTGCCCTGGTGATGCGCAAATACACACAGTTAAGGACATGGAATGAAAAATTAATATTAGGATTTTCAAATATTAAAACTCCAAACAATCCTTGAACATCAGATTAACACAGGACAGTCACACAGCTGGATCAGGGTCAAGACTCATCTCCCCCACGACACAGAGGTTCCTGAATCTCTCAGTGCATTGGATTCAGATGTTGTGTTTGGGAGCAGGAAATGGCACATGGATTAGGATGAGTTCATGAGGATGTTAAAGACCAGGCATTTGACAGAGAAACAGAACAGAACAGAGAAAATCAAACAAAGAGCTTGGTGTTGAAGTTGCAGAGCGGTTCCATTCTTGAGAATGTTGACCCTATGGTATCACAATCAAGAGTTCAGGGATGAATCTGTGTATTTGTGTATTTGTATCAAATGCAACATTTTACCTGTCCAAGGGAGTGGATGATGGGGACAGTGTAGAGAGAGCTTTTACTTTCTATCGAACATTGTGTTGTCCCAGATACTCACCTCCTGCTCTGTCCACACGGCAAAAGGAACAATAGTAGCCAGGACCTATTTTAAATACTTTCAGGTGTCACTCAAAGCCCAGCTCATCCAGACAGCTCCCAACCTCCTCTACCTGGAGCACACCACCCTCACGTATGGAGCACTCAGAGGCAGCTTTATGAGATTGGAGGGAGGAGGTGTGAGAGAAAGCAGCACCTTAATTATTTAGTCTAGATGCCTCTGGCTGGCCACCTC